ATCCAGCTCTACACCTTGTTATATCACATATTATGAGGACCTCTGATTTATAGTAAATAATTGAAAATGTTTTTATTTTGCAAAGTTATCAGTTAACAAAAATAACTGGTGCAGAATATCCCTGAAATCCTCAACATATTCAATTGTCTGTAAAGTACCAAGCAATGCTCCCATTTTCAATGCTTGCTTTTTCTTTCTTTGACATTAACCTTTTGCAGCACACCTACCTTCCCACAGATTCCAATCTTTCAACACGTACATTTGGACTTCATGTCTTCACAACGTTCTGTTTACCTTCTATCTGCAAATCTACTTTTCATCATAATAAAATGAATTACATATGCATACACTTTACCAATAATTTGCTTAGTTAGCAATGATTGCTAATGTTATAATTAAGAGATAATTTTGTAAAATATCTACATTTTTATAAAGAAAAGGAGTCCAACTTTTCTTTGAAAATTTGTAACTCAAGAATTTAATCATAATCACAATTGACTGCCAAGTTCCTTCTGTTGCTATTTACTAAACTAACCTTAATTCTAGCCTAATAATGTCCTGGCAGTTATGTCTATCCAGGCTATCTTTGTTGTGAAATAATCCATTTTCCCCCAAAAGGCATATAACATATAACTTGCATATAATAAAACCTAACAGTTTAAAGAATGAAGTACTCAGACTCTGCCATCTCTGGTGGACTTAAAGGCCACCAAAACATTATTCAAAGAAGTGCAAGGAAGTTCTCTCATTTTCCTGCCCAATAATCATCCTCAACCAAAAGTTAAAACACATTTTGGTCAGTATTTCAGTTCTGTTTTAAGAGCTTGCAGTGCACACATTAGCTGGCATGTTTCCTGTAATTCTAGTGTCTGCACTTCAAAGATACTTAATTGGCTGTGAAGCAAGCTAAGACATCTTGAGGTTGTGAAAAGTATTGCATAAAAGCAATTTTTTCCGACTAATGTATCACTCTCACCTTTCAAATCTACCCAATTAAGGTCACTCACGTTATCTGTAGTCATGTATTGTACGACCTACATAATTTTATTAGATCAATCTCATTTAAGCTCCTAAGCATTTTGCATCAAAAATAACAATGGTGAGCTATGATAGTATAAGCAAATATTTCAGTTCAATGCAAATTTAATTGGTACACTACACAGTATGTTGTCATACTGCCTATCTAGCCAACCAGCAAATATACTTTTAGATATTTTTAGATGCATATAGTTTCCATAATGTATAGTATTATGAATGTTTGAAAGCATATGAATTACCAACTGTCTGACCTCTAAATAGCCTAAATGTCAATATAACATCCAAAAAAGCAACCAGAATCAATACAGCATGTTTTTAAGTTTTACCTAGGATTGCAACAACTTCGTCATCTTGAATTACTTCCAAGGACCCAGAAACCACAAAACAAAGGTTGTCCACGCTTTCGCCTGCATGGTAAATTAGATCTCCTGGAGCACTGTGTATGGTTTGAAACTCTATTGCCAGAGCTCGGAGACAGCCATCACTTGCCAGTCTAAATGCTGGGTGCTCCTTGAACACTTTGCGGTTTAAGTGGACACAAATGTCTGCTCGCATATCCTTGGGACAAATTTCTAGAACCTATACAGAAATATGCAAATAAAATCAATTTTTGCCTCACAAATTTAAAAAGCATACTATACTAATTTGTCACACACTACACATAGAACACATTTTCAACAAGTAAATATATCTGCACAGAGCAATCCATTCGTGTTCGATATTATTCAAAACTTGTTAACCTGTGAAGATAAATGTCAATAGCAAAATCACATCAATTCTTTCATGATTTTGCCACACAATTGCAAAATGAAAAGGACATTTTGCATTGCCACATCTTTCAAAATGTCAGGGAAACCATAAAGAATCATAAATCAATGATATAATCATTTAAACAATGTTGTATATTAAATATAAGTTACTAGAAATCATTGCAGTTTGATAAAAAGTGTTTCAGGGATACCGAAATGTAATATGTAATTAGTAACATGTTATTCAAGTTCTATGTATACAATATTTACAAATATGCATTTGGTGATACAGATCTTGAGTACTGCTGAAAAAGATACATTTTGTCAAGGCTCATCATCTTTCAGTTTGAGAAAACAGTCCTGCTGTTTGGCAAGTAGACTATGACTAGTGAGGGGTTACCATGAATATGCACCAGTTAGATGAAAATTGACAGTGAACTCCTGAACAGGCCTTTGGTCCTGAAAAGTGCCCAGCATATCCAGATTATACTGGAAGGGTAAGGTATCTCCCAGGTTTGAACTACAAGTGAAGCTAGATGTTTCATGCTGCTACAATGCAACAATAACACGAGTAGCATTTGCGATTAACAAAATACTACCATTAAGCCAAAAAGGCTTTCTGCCTATCACACAAATGAGCAATGTGTTATGTGAATGTCAGTGTCAGTGTATTGCTAGGTAGTTGGGCTGTACATTCCAAAGACAGGTCGATCATGTCAAACAGCATCTCGCTTCAACTGTTCACACTAAACAAGGTACTGACCCTACACAACCAGCCTGTGCTTGAAAATCTCAGGTTGTGGAGGTGCCAGTGTTGAACTGGGGTAGACAAAGTCACACAACACCAGCTTATAGTCCAACAGGTTTATTTGAAATCACACAAGCTTTTGGAGTACATGCACCTGACAAACGGGCTGCGCTCCGAAAGCTTGTGAGATTCCAAATAAACCTGTTGGAGTATAAGCTGATGTCATGTGACTTCTGACTTTTAAAAACACATAACAGCGTGTCCAAAATTAAATGTGCTTCAGCAACTAGACAGCATTTGCCAAATCATCCTGAGTGTGCTAAGAATTATGCTAACAACCAATTTATGACTGTCGTCAAGCTCACAGTGTGGTACACATGTGCATACTGGAAGCCACATGATGCAGTTGTAGTGTCCCTACCCCTGAGCCAAGAGTTCTGGGTTCAAGTCCCACCTGCACCGGAGGTGTGTAATAGCATCTCTGACCAAGTTGATTAGGGGGAGAAAAAAACAGGTGGAACAAAAATCACTAAAACACAGGGCCCTGTTCTTTGCAGCCAAAGATAGCATGTACACACATTGTGCCTGTTTCATTGCAACAAAATAGATGACACTCATTCCCTGGTTCATCATCAGCCTTGACCAGAGTCAACCTCCTTGGTTTGAAATTAAACAAAAATTGGCAGTTTACCATCACTCATCAACTAACTGGCACATTTTCCATGGCAATGCTCCTACTAATCACAGTCCACTTGCCAACTACTTAGCACTCTCTTCTCATACAGTACAAACTGTTATTTTACCTTTACTTTGATATTTTTGTGCATAGTCCTGATGAGTACAGGACAAAAAGCTTCAATAAGATGTGTCTTTTTCAGCAAAATATATTTTATTGGCCTATAGAGAAAATCAGCTTCAATATACAACTGAATGCATTTACCACTAATTTGTGCTCTCTTAGTATTATTTTAATAGGTTCTGTTAATCATAATAGTGCTGACTGCATCACAGCATACTTGAAGAATACAATACAAAATCATGCAAGATATGAAATGAAATAAAATACTGCCAAAAAGACAATGCATTGAAAATAAATTCTGAATGCTGTTCAAGGACTTCAAACACAAACGATGGAATGGGACATTGATGCTAAAGTGAAAAGGAAATATGTGCAGCTTCTGTTCAGCTTTGCTTAACACATTCATAAAGGTAGCCAGTGACTTAGATGCAAGATGTTTTGATTTATTCATGATGTACATTCTAGAAATGAGTTATAACTGAAAAAGAATCAGTACAGTTACAAACAAGTGAACCTGTGCAATGCTGTACAATTTGCAACAGCATATACAACATATGTAGTTTGAGATTTCAGTGTGTTTCCATGAAATTCTAGGCCATTCTCGATGAAAGTCCAAGAGTTCCCACTTGCTTTGATATAAAACGGACATCTACCTGCATCTTAGGAGACAAATAATTGAATGGGACAGGAATTCCTTTGTCCTGTAATAAGCCTTGATGAATGGGAAGAAAAACACCAAGTTATTGAAGTGTCCATAAGGGTTGAGTGTCAGGCAAAGGACTGGACTCCAGAGGGTAAGGATTTCGTTTGCAAGGTTGAGCTGGCTTGAATGATATCACTGCCACACTGAAGAATGGACACAGGAGTTTCTGGCTATTATGAGTTGGTTTGAAGGAGCACCGATATGATGAGACATTCCCCAGATCACCAACAAGTTCTGCTGAGGAGAGGAGGATAAGACAATTTGGCTGCTGCTCATGGTCAGGGATAGGATGGTATGGCTACAAGTGAGGCAGATATTGGGGCCAGAAAGATAGAAATGGAGGCGTCTCAGCTCTTGAAATTGTCCAACAGTTTCGTGGTTCTTGCAATTTGTATGTATGACAACGGGACCTCAAGGTGCATAAATGAACTGGCCATGTCACCATGTTCAATAGTTGGGGGGGGGATGGTAAATAGGAATAGTGTGGTCACGGGAGAGAATGTGGTCAGTGAGATAGTTCTCTGCAGCTGATAACGTGAGTCCAGCCTGTGTTGCCTGCCTGCCTATTGCCAGGGTTCAGGATGTCAGCTTAGAGCTGCAGAGGAACTTACAATGAGAGGAGGAGGACACAGCTAACATGGGTACCAAAAGGAGTAGGATTGAGATTCTGCTTAGTGATTATGAGCAGATACAGGCAATTTAGAAAGTTGAACTTCAAAGGTAATAATCCCTTGATTATTTCCAGGAGGGTCCCAGCAGATTAGAAAATAGCTAACATAACATGTTTACTTTTTAAAAAAGGGAAGATAAAGGGCAGGAAATTGCAGGTGAAGCAGCTTTATATCTATCATAGGGAAATTACTAGAATCCATTGTGAACGTTATATAGCAAGATGCTTAGAAAATCATATTGTGACCAGAGGCAACATGGCTTTGTTAAATGGAAAGAGTGTTTCCCCAATTATTAGTTTGCTTTTAGGAAGGAACAAACAACCTCTGGATTACTACCTCAATCACAAGCAAAGTAAATAAGATCAGAGGGATGAATGTATGGCTGATAGACCGGTGGGCAAGAAATGGATTTTGATTCACATGGCACTGGCAGCACTGAGGATTGCAGGTTCTGCATCATAGAATTGTAGAGTCATACAGCACGGAAACAGGCCCTTTGGCCTAACTTGTCCATGCCAACCAAGTTTCCTAAACTGAACTAGTCCCATTTGCCTGCATGTGGCCCATATCCCTCTAAACTTGTCCAAATGTCCTTTCAACGTTGTAATTGTATTCACCTCTACCACTTAGTCTGACAGCTCTTTCCATATGTCCACCACCCTCTTTGTGAAACTGTTGTCCCTCAGGTCCCTTTTAAGTCATTCCCCTCATATTCCAGTAAGTCATAGAACCAGGATAGTAGAAATCATTTTAAACTAAATACTTGGGGGAAGGATTGAGTGAGAGGACCTGGTAATGAAAAACCCGAGACAGGATTAATCAACAACTTTTCGGTAAAGGAGCCTCTCGGTCACAATGACATTACAGGATAGAATTTTATGTTCAGTGTGAAGGGAGAAGTGATTATTGAGTAGTGTTTTAAACATCAATAAAGAAATTATTAGGGCATGAAAGTAAAGTTAGTTAAATTGAACTGGTAAACAATGTTAAATGGTAAGACAGTTGAGATGCAAAGGCACACTTTTAAAGGAGATACTTAGTAACTCTCAGCAAAGATCAATCCCAGTGAGAAAGATAGACTCTGAGAAGGATGCATCAGTGTTGAAATAAGAAAGTTAATAATGGTATCAAATTCAAAGAAACATTGTAGAAATCTGCAAAGAATTCTGGAAGCATTTAGAAGTTTCATCAGATTTTAATAACCAGCAAAGAATGACTAAAAAAAAATAAAGTGGGACAAAGTAGAGTATGAGAGAAATCAAGTTCATAATACATAACAGTTACTTAATGTAACAGTTATTTAATTTGGAAAAGAGTAACTCAATCTAGTATTGGTACTCTAGAGGGAGAGGCTGGGGAATGGATCATGGAAACAAGAACATTCAACAGTTATTTATATCTGACTTCATTGTAGAAGATATAGAAAACTTCCCCATTTTATTTGTTGATCAAGAGGTAAACAGGAAGGGGGAACTTAAAACAAACACCATGACCAAGTAAAAGGTGCTGGCAAACCTTTTAGAGCCAAAGGCTGACAAATACCCAGTCCCAGATGATCTGTATCTTAGGATATTAAAAACGTGGTTTTTAGAGATAGTAGATGGAATAATTAGAAATTTACAAATTTCCTTAGATTCTGGAAGGGTCCCAGCGGATTAGGAAATAGCTAATATAATAATATGTTAATTTAAAGAAAAGGGAAGATAAAGGGCAGGAAATGATAAGTCAAGCAGCTTTATATCTATCATAGGGAAATTACTAGAATCCGTTATGAATGCTACATAGCAAGATGCTTAGAAAATCATAATGTGATCAGAGTCAACATGGCTTTGTTAAATGGAAAGTGTGTTTCCCTAATAATTAGTTTTCTTTTAGGAAGCAACACGAGGGCGAGTAAAGGAGAACCTGT